ACTTGGTCACCTTGGATTCAGTACTTGTCTAGGTTACCAACTTAAACGTATGATGCACACACATCTTAACCACAACCACTCCCCCGTACCAGCCCCTTTACCCCATTCTTTTCTTCCCCATCCTTTTCTTTTTCTTAATATTTCAATCTTGGTATTCTTATTTCCTCTACATTAACTATATCATATTGTCCAACTGAGCCAGAGTGACTTACCCCAAAACCCTGCATAGGAATAAAGCATAGCTTGGGAGCACATTCTCACTGCAAGGAGTGAAAAGAAGATTATACCCACCCCAATGTAGGGTGATACCAGGCATGGGCATTTAACCATAACAAATATGCCTCCCTTGTCATGCCTAGGAACAACTTTTGGTAAAACAAAATAGTAAAACTACTTAATTTCTGATCAATGTCTCTTTACAGAACTTAACTATTTTTTTTACCAACTTCTGTACAATGTTGATCATTTTTGAAAATAAAGATTGTAAAAAAAAAACCCTCAGAGTAAGAAGAAGGGTGCTAAGAGCAACACAAGGGATAATAGAAGGGGGTTTATAGACCGATATGGGGTAAGAGAGGGGTCTAGGGAAACCATTATAGGATGAAGCTGTAAAAGTTGGGAAAGACACACAAAGGGTGTCAGGAGATGAACACAAGGCTGTGAGGAGGGTGCAAAAACAAATTGGGGACACACCTAATTTTCATTTTTAATTCATGGGAAAGATGAAAGTTCCACCAAACAATTCCACTCCAGGTGGCAAATGACCCGGGTTCACCTCTGACTCCAGGCAACATAACCACTGCAGAAAATCAATGTTCAGTTTAAGTTTCTGTTTCTCATTTGGCCCTAGGGGACATTGTGAGCTTCTGTTGCTTAATCGATATCTAAAGTTCGTCATTTTTCTTCTCTTAATGTGCATGTGCGTGAGGTCAGTGTTCCACATTTACATAGTTAAGTGTTTAATATCTCTCACAGTGCATTCTTGTTGGTTAACTAGTCTCACTTTTCTTTTTCATTTTATACAGTTTTGTTCCTTGCTCTGAGAAGATTCACTCAGCAGTAACAGAAATGGCATCACTCTTCCCCAAAGTAAGTGAACAATTAAAGTTACATAGACAAGTAGTACAGTCTCAAATACTTTGACTATGACTTTAGAAGTATTAGTTTTGTCACTCAATTCCTCAACATTCAGTGTCTGCTGAGGAATTTAGAGAGATCTGTACATTTGCTTGAAAAACTGCACACATAATGTACAGATTGAGTTTTATACTCTTTTTAAAGAGCTAAAGTTGTATATTTGTTTCACTTTAAGGATTGCTTTAAAGACACACTATAGTCACCAGAATAATTACAGCCTAATGTAGTTGTTCTGGTGAGTATAGCCTGTTCCTGCAGCCTTTTCAGAGGAAAGGCAGTGTTTACATTGCTCCAGAGGGACACCTCCAGGCAAGGAGGCAGCTCAGTGCGTGGCCGGTGCCAGTGGACCCATGCGGCTCTTGAAATAAGATTAGTAAACTACTTTCTAGGGGGGGGGAGGTGGCAACACTATATAGTGTTAACACTATAGCGTCACAAATACAGGTTTGTGATCCTGACCCTATAGTGTTCCTTTAAGGTTAAACAAATATATTTATTTTTAAAGGGAAATTATAGTGGCACTATAGCTTCCCACTCTGTCTTTTGAATAGTTTTGATATTTAGTGTGTCATTTTAAAGATTCAACATTAGAAATATATACAAAGTAAATGGTACCATTAGCAAATATTGTTGTGAGATAGGGGCTCAATTATCATTTGGTCATTGAGACACTCTGCTTCTGCATTTACTTTGTATCTATGGCTCAAATAGCAGACCACTGAAGGTAAAATATTCCTAATTTATCTGCGCTGCTCACAAGTTGTACTTGATTGAACACTGTTACTTTCACGCTTTGCTCATTGCGCTCATGTTTGTGAACACGTTTCAAATGTTTGATCACCTTCTTTTTTTATGTATCTATAAATATTATTATATTTTAGTATTTATAGTGTTTTATATAGTAATATCATAATTATATTTTTATGACAGTCTTTTAGAACTAGTTGGTGTGATGAATGAACATGCACAGACACTGACTGGTTGAGTAGGCTGTAAACAAAAAACTGTCCTGCTATCTCAGTTGTACTAGGCTAGCTGCTAGTTTTCAGAGTGTGTGTATATTGGTGTTTTTAATATATATATATATATATATATATATATATATATATATTTAAATTTACTTTCTTTTTTCCTCTGGTAGAAGCCAGCACTGGAAACCGTTCGTTCATCCCTGCGGTTACTAAATGCAAGTGCGTATCGACTCCAGAGCGAATGCCGTAAAACTGTTCCACCAGAGCCAGGAGCCTCAGTGGACTACCAACTCCTCACTCAGCAAGTCATCCAATGCGCTTACGATATTGCTAAAGCTGCCAAACAGCTGGTTACCATAACCACTCGAGAAAAAAAGCAGTGACCAACATAGGAGCCACAAAAAAAAAACAACTCTTCCACTTTTCAAGAGTCCAAGCCCTGTGCGGTTCCTATTTTGTACTCTTATGGAACACCACAGCTATCTGGGGAATCTCCATGTGGGGTACCTCACGGTCTTGAATGAAACCAGGATCTGAATTTCTACACTCCTGCATAAAATGCAAATGTTCTGTATGCGAGCAGAAAGTTTAAAGGCACAGTTCTATTTGGCTAATGCATAGCTACAAAATTCAATTTTCAGTTCAGTGATTGCAAAGTTTGTTAACTTAAGCTATCCACATACCCCAGAATATTAAGATCTTTAATAGTTTGTAATGTCTGGTAGAGAGAATGACACTAATAGTTAACCCTTCAAAAGGACATTTTTTAACGTTGCCACATATCAATTTGAAGAAAAAAAAAAAGTCAGATCAAAATATAGATGGTTGTGTGAACTACACATTTTTCTGATGAAGTTATTCTGTGGTAGTCATGTATCTGCTGTAACTCAGCATTTCATAATTAGGACCAAAGAGAACATACACTATCATTACAGTTAATTTTATTTGATCGATAATTTGATCACATTTACTGCAAAATCTCTGTAATTCCTGCAAATTTTAGAGGAGAGCCACCTCCGCCTTTTAACAGAGGTAAATACTTGAACTTTTCTAGATTTGGTGACTTTTACTGAATATGTATTCTCCAGAACCACATGTGTTGCCTGTGTATTTGAGTATATATGTGCATAGACACATCTATAGCTATATTTGCAAGCCCAAAATGCATGTACTAATACTTTGAGTAAGTAGCTGTGCAGGGGGCTGTTCCTTTAAATCATGTTCTGCTACCTCCCTCCAGCTGGGAATAAGTGAACTCTGAAGTAGAACCTATTGATCATCGATTCACAGTCCTAGTTTCTCTTGACATTGTACATTGCTGAGAATTGACGACTATACAACTCACGGAAGAAATCTGGAAAGTATGGCCGGCCGCATGCAGAGGTGAAGCACCCATTCTTGAAACCCACAAGGCAGAACAGAGAGCACTTATTACTTTATCCATGAGTTATGTTACCTTGTTGCCTGTGGGAAGCACAAATCTGGCATGTTGCAAAACATCTTTCCTCCAATAAGCCGGAACGATAGCAGTTCTCGGCCCTCTAAACAGCCAGTCTCTGCAGTGCTATGTCACGTGTGAACAATGAATGTGGCCAATACTAAACTTACACTGGAATCAATGTGTATATAAAAAAAATATACATATCTAATATATAACAAACATCTCTTTTTTTTTTTTTGGTTGATGGGGTGGTTTGGGGATTAACATAGACTGTTTTATGTATTTGGTGTGTAACCACTTTAAGCTCATTACTCTAAAGAGTAGCACAAATCGAAGCTCATAGACTGCAATAGACTAGGCCTTCCTCTAGTGTCATTCTTTCTGACACCATTACTCTGCTCTGTGTGTTCTCCTTCTGTGCATGAATGGCACGTTGGTGTGGTATTACCATAATCTGATCTGTTCTTTGCACTGATTTTTGTTTTGTGGTTTTTTTTTTTCTTTTGGTTACTGGCATTGCATAATAGGAGCAGTCAGTTGCTTCTGGGGAGAGTTCACCCTTCAATCTTAGTTTTCTATTCTGCTTTATAAAACTAGCCCTTTAATGCCAATCTGTAGAGATTGAAACGGTAGCCTCAATTCAATAGAGGGATCATTTAATAAAATGGTTAACCGCTCCTTGTCCGTTTTCTATCACGCATGTGGATACCAGATGTAAAATGAGCTAGGGAGAGAACTTATTCTTTAACCCCTTAAGGACCAAACTTCTGGAATAAAAGGGAATCATGACATGTCACATATGTCATGTGTCCTTAAGGGGTTAAAGACAGCAAGTAAGGGTATTTGACGTGCTATAAAAGCCTAACATTTTATTGCCTGCACTATGACCTCTCCATCATTACCTAGGCTTCCTTTAAATCAGAGTGTTCAATTCTTATAACTGGTTACCTCTTGCACTACTAGAGTCTTCATTAAAGCTTTTTTTTTATTATTATTATTTCTTGTTTCTGCTTTTTCTCAGTGATTGTTTTATTTTATTTTTTTTTTTGTTGCTACAGAATTTTCCAAATGACTTGAGTGTGAGAGAGCTTGGTGATAGGTGTTCATTGTAAAGATATGCATAATGTACATTTGTATCAAATTAAACAACTAACACTGTTCTGTGTCTTGTGATGTTTATGCAAAAAAAACAAAAAACAATCTGATTGTGGCTTTGAAATATTGTATGGGTAATACGGCTTCATGTGTTATGCAAACAGAGGTAATATAAAAGACGTTTCATTGATACATTTTGTGGATACAGCATTATTCAAGTTTGAATTGTCAAGAATTCAAAAATTACAAAATTTTAGGCCAAAATAGTCAAACTGAAAACCGTTTTCGAAGCAACTAATGTTCCCTTCAGCTTATTTACCGAATTCCCACCAATTCAAACTCTAGTGAATACATTTGCTCGTGAACTGCTTATGAGATTAACAGGGTTTTTTTGCTAAAGTGAGAATTGTTCGCAATTCAAAGTGAATTTTAAGTTCAGGTCCTAGATTTGAAGATTTCAAAGTTGTTTTTTTGTCAATCTTTATTTTATTGAGACTTTGTGCAATTCAGTACAGAAAGGGCTTAGAGCAAATATACACTTTTTAGCAATGCAGATGACATTAACTCTTGAACAGACGGTCTCATTTTGGTATGTAAACAGGCTAAACATTTGTGTGAGGTTGATAACATGCTAAGTGTATCTGTCTAGAATGAAGTCTGAGGATAAAGTACAATAGAAAATCTCTCTAGGCAGGCCATTATGAATAAGATTTACTAGACAAGGTAAGTATGTGAGTATTCTATGCTAGGAATAACTGGCTAGTTGCTACAGTGATGCATAGAAACAAACAAAAAATACTACATAACTGAGTGGCTTCAGGCTATACAGTAGATACGTGACATGCTAGACAGACTGTAGGTTTATATACCGCTGGGTCTTAGTAAGCTACTTGGTAATATCAATTCAATAACCATTTATTTCCTTTCCCCTTTCCCCTCCATGCATAACATAGAGTAATATTGTTACCTGCAAATGGTACATCAAATTTGGTAAATACATCAATGTGTTCAATACTGAAACAGAGTTTTCAACTTTTAACGGGTATAACTCGGTAGTTGCTTTAGGGCTTTGGTGTGTATGTGTCATGTAGCTATTGTTGTTGGTTGTTGTATGTGTTGACCTTCTGCTATGTCTTTGTGTGGGGTGTTGTGAAATGAATGTTTATGGTTGTGTGTGTGTGGTGTTTTGGTTGGGGTACACAGATCTGGTCGGTGTGGTTCATTTCCATGGTATTGTCTGTTGTGCGTCGGGTCAGGTACCAGTTCCAGGTCGATTGTGTGTCCTATGCGTATCCGCCCTGTACACGTATGCAGGTATAAAGTAAAACAAGAAAAAGAAAAGGAGGAGGGGGTGGGGGTGGTTGGACGCCTCCCTCGCCTCTGTTGTGCCAGGGTTAAGTGAATCCTCAGTGCTCTCCCATTTCTGTTGCCGGGATGGTGTTGGTCGCCTTGCTTCGGGTGTTCAGGCTGGTCCACCTTGTCCCTGCTAGGCTGTGCTGGTGTCTTCCTAGGTGGCCTCAACGAGACATCCCTGGTCCGGGTCTCTATTTGAGGGCCTCTGTGTTATATATGAGCATCAAGGGTACCACATCAGGGCACATTTCTCCGAAGTGCCTCTTAGTGAGGCTGTGAATGACTCCATGCTATACATGTGTTCCACACTGTTCATCCATTGTTCGGAAGTCGTAACATTTGTTGTTCGCCAGTTGAGTGGTATGAGTGATTTAGCTGCGTTCAGAAGGTGCCTGGTTAAGAGAGCATTTGTATTTGGGTAAGGATAGGGACATATGATGTAACAGCATTGGGATTGGTTGGAATGGTAAATCAGGGTCGGCTATTTCAGTGATTTTGGCGTGTATCATTTGCCAGTATTGCGCTATTTTTGTGCATGTCCACCAGATATGGAAGTCCGTTTCCGGCTCACTACCGCACCTCCAACATGTGTCAGGGTGGTCGGGTGTCATACAGTGTAATTTTGCGGGTGTCCTGTACCAGTACACCAGAAGCTTATAGTTGAGTTCCTGCATCTTGGAGCTGATGATGCCCTGTTGTGCAAGGTTGTGTAGTGTTTCCCATTGCGTGTCTGTTAGTGAACGTCCTGTTCCCACTGGGAGATATGTTTTGGTGGGATACGCGGTGTGGCGGTAAGTAGTAAAGAGTAGAGGAGTGAGATCCCCTTTCTGGGCCGGTCTCTAGATACACAGTCGTTCAAATGTAGTGAGTGGACCAGGTGTTTGCCCCTAAGGGACTGGTAGTAGTGTTGTATCTGGTGGTATCGGTATTTAGTTAGGTATGAAGGGGTTTCGGTGATGGTTACACTTCGAAGTGGCTTTAGTTCCGTGGTCGTGCATACTTGTCTCAGGTACGTCCAGTCTGAGCCGCTCAGGTCGGTAGGTGTGGGCCCATCCGCTATCTCTGGGTTGTGGGATAAGGAGGTTAGGGGCGACGGGGTCGTGGTCAGTGTGTGTGTTAGCCTCAAGACTATCCAGACCTTCAGGGTTTCTCTGATCAGCAGATTGGATTGAAGCTCTGAGTTTAAGTATGGGGCTGTCGTCCACACCGCTGCGGGCAATTTTTGTCCCACTTGGGCTATTTCCATGTCCCTCCAGCGTTTATCCGGTTCTCTGGAGTGCCAGTCTATTGCGCGCAGTAGGTATGTGGATTGATAGTATTGCAAAATCGACAGTAGTCCCACTCCTGCCCTTTTGGGTAGCGTTAGCAATGATCGATTTACTCTAGGTGGCCCTGCTTTCCATACAAACCTGTGATCGCGGTATTGACTGACTGAAAAAAAAATTTCGGTATGACAATGGGCACGGTCTGAAAAAAGTAGAGAAGTCTCGGCAGCAGGTTGAGCTTCAGGGCGTTGATCCTACCAAACCATGATATGTAGAGGTTGCCCCAGGTGTTAAGGTCTGTCTGTAGAGTGCACAGTATTGGTGCGAAGTTCTCTTGGTATAGTTTGGCCAATTCCTTGGAAAGCCAGATGCCAAGATACTTAATTCTAGGGTCGCACCATCGGAAGGGGAATTGCATCTTGAGTCGGTCCACTTCGTTTTTGGGGTATATGATTGGCAGCACCTCTGATTTATCTGCATTAAGCTTAAGGTTGGAAACTGAGCCATACTCCCGGAATCTAGCCATCAGGTTCGGCAGTGATACCGTCGGGTTGGTGAGGAAGAAGAGTTACAGGCAACAGAGGGTTGTAGTCAATGGAATATATTCGAAGCTTGGACTTGTCACCAGTGGGGTACCTCAGGGATCTGTACTCGGACCCATTCTCTTTAATATTTTTATTAGTGATATTGCAGAAGGTCTTGATGGTAAGGTTTGTCTTTTTGCTGATGATACTAAGATATGTAACAGGGTTGATGTTCCAGGAGGGATAAGCCAAATGGCAAATGATTTAGGAAAACTAGAAAAATGGTCAGAATTGTGGCAACTGACATTTAATGTGGATAAGTGCAAGATAATGCATCTTGGACGTAAAAACCCAAGGGCAGAGTACAGAATATATGATAGAGTCCTAACCTCAACATCTGAGGAAAGGGATTTAGGGGTGATTATTTCTGATGACTTAAAGGTAGACAATGCAGGAAATGCTAGCAGAATGCTTGGTTGTATAGGGAGAGGTATTAGCAGTAGAAAGAGAGAAGTGCTCATGCCATTGTACAGAACACTGGTGAGACCTCACTGGGAGTATTGTACTGGGGACCGTATCTTCAGAAGGATATTCATACCTTAGAGAGAGTTCAGAGAAGGGCTACTAAACTGGTTCATGGATTGCGGGATAAAACTTACCAGGAAAGGTTAAAGGATCTTAACATGTATAGCTTGGAGGAAAGACGAGACAGGGGGTATATGATAGAAACATTTAAATACATAAAGGGAATCAACACAGTAAAAGAGGAGACTATATTTAAATGAAGAAAAACTACCACAACAAGAGGACATAGTCTTAAATTAGAGGGACAAAGGTTTAAAAATAATATCAAGTATTACTTTACTGAGAGGGTAGTGGATGCATGGAATAGCCTTCCAGCTGAAGTGGTAGAGGTTAACACAGTAAAGGCGTTTAAGCATGCGTGGGATAGGTATAAGGCAATCCTAACTATAAGATAAGGGCAGGGACTAATGAAAGTATTTAGAAAATTGGGGAGACTAGATGGGCCGAATGGTTCTTATCTGCCGTCACATTCTATGTTTCTATTTTTCTATTCTTTTCCACTTCTTTGTCTCTACCCATTTGTACCTCCAATTCTTGTGATTCCTGCCATAGCTACCATACTCCCATAACTATCTGCATACCTAAACTCTACTGCACAATCTACACATACCACTTAATGCAGTGTATGTTTAGTATGATTCTACTTCATTTCACAGGCAGCACAGAAATTAACAGTTCAGCTATAAACTTTAACCTAAAATAAAACTCACACTATAAGATCAGATCATCTGCGTAGGCTGCCACTCTATGGTCCTGTATCCCGAGCGGGAAGCCTGTGATGCCCCCGTCCCGTCTGACCGCCCTCCAATAAAGGTTCCAGGGAGAGGGCAAACAGGGGGGCAGCCCTGTCTCGTGCTGTTCCGTATGTTGAAGGGCCTCGAGAGGGCTCCATTGATCTGTATCCTGGCGGTAGGCGTGGTGTACAGTGAAGAAATCCATCTGAGCATGTGTGGTCCAAACCCCATCGCTTTGAGTGTTGCCATGATGAATTGCCAGTCCACCCTGTCAAAGGCCTTTTTCGGCATCACTCGAGAGGAGGATCGTTTTGCGGCCAGTCTTGCGTGCCAAGTGTATTATGTTGAGGGCTCTGATGGTGTTGTCCCTTGCCTCTCTGCCTGGTATGAAGCCCACTTGATCCGGGTGTATTAAGTGTGGCAGGACTTTACCAATTCGTGTGGTCAGGATTTTGGTGAACAGTTTCAGGTCAGAGTTGAGAAGGGAGATCGGTTGGTAGTTTGAGCAGTTGGTCTGGTCTTTCCCTTCTTTGGGGATAAGTGTAATGGACGCCGCTATAGTATCTGTTGGGAATCTGCTCCCGTCCAAGATCGCGTTAAGGGTCTTCAGGAGGGGCGGTAGCAATATCTCTTTAAACTTTTTGTAGTACGTGGCCGGGAGGCCATCCGGTCCTGGGGCTTTGTGCATCTTGGAGGTCTTTAGGGTAGCTTGTAGTTCTTCCATGGTGATGTGTTCCTCCATACCCTCCGTCAGATCTCTTGTGAGGGTTTTGTTTAGGTGTCTGTCCAGGTAGTCTGTGATTCTGGTTGCTCGTCTCGTTTGGGCTATGTCACTCTGTTCTGTAGGTATGTTGTACAGGCTAGTTGAAGATTTATAAGTTAAGTAACTTTACAGGGGAGAGAGGGGAAAAAAAACAACCCATATAGTAAGAAAATATCTTTAATACCGAACAGTTTTAGATAAAAAGGTATACCAATATCTAAAAACAATACAAAAATAAATACATATATATACACAGCAGGTTTGTGCAAAGTTCAAAGATCTATAGGTTTGCCATAAGTGGCTCACAGCTCCTTCAAGTTGGCTCTCTGATATAGTCCAGTCATCTAATTAAAAAAAAATTATTGTACTCCTTCCATACACGGATATATATATATATATATATATATATATATATATAAAAAACAAAAACATTCAGTGTCCACAGACTTGTGCAAAATTAAAAAACATTTTTTACAAAATGGAAAAGGTTTGTTGCTTCATCCGAATCAATAACCCTTTAATCCACCCCAAAACGTATATAGTTGATGCTACATGTGAATCCCTAATTGTTCGATTTGTTCATGTGTGGATTAAAAGGAATTTGCTTTGGAGTTTTTGCACATTTTCCAGCTATGAGTAAAAAGTTGGCTGTATGTCCAGTTTCTTCATAAACATTTTAGTTCATGCCCAAACATGGTTCCAGTATTCATTAAAATCACTGTGTTTCCATGAACATTGCCAAATGGCTTAAAATAAATGATTGTTAAAAATCACACCCAAATCTAATTAAGTAAACCAGCTGGGAGAACATAAAAGTGAAAAAATTAAATAAATAAAAAATAAACATACTATGGCTACCCTCCATGATTAATATGATACATTCAATGTCAATTTAGTGATTGCTGAACTGAGCCTCTTCATTTGTTCAGTGATTTCAAACAGGCCATGCTGAGTGTTAGTCAGAACTTTCACTTAAACTTTCATACAACAACGTAGGGGGCTTCTTGCGACCAATCCATTTCTTTCGTTTGCTGTAACCTTGTTTCAGTCTCCTCTTGATAACAGCTATGGGACAAATTGTAAACATAAACAAGTTTAATAATTAACTGGGGAACCTTGATCCATATAGGCCTAAGAAGATGAAATTTGCAAGAAGGCAGGAGGACCGCCAAGAACTCCTGAAGAGAAAAGTATCCCTTAGTGAGGATCAGCACTGGAAGGGAGGTAAATGTAAGTGTGGCTTATTGTATATTTACAAAAAAAAAAGTGTAACAAGGTGGTAGAAGTGGGTAATGGCCACTCCAGGTACTTATCTAAAACATTGTGCCCTCGCAGACCTTAATACTGTAATGCAGCAGAATCAAATCGGTTATAACATGCTAGATTCGTTTACCTAAGCCCTTTCCAATAGTCTCCATAACTGGATGCAGTATTGTAATTAAGATCTTGGTAGTTTATAGAAGGGGCACTAGAATGATGGAATTATTTCCTACAAGCTGAGGGAACTATTTTTCAAAAGCCTTCCAGAAGGAATGTAAATAAAAAAAATAAAAAAATTGGTATAGGAGTACACTGAACACTGGGTTTGTATCTCTGTTAACCCCTTAAAACCAGAGGGCGTACTATTACGCCCTATTCTAAGCTGCTCTAAAACGCCCTCCTAGTTTTTTTTACTTACCCGGTCGCCGGCGATCGCGGTTGGGGAGACTCACCTGGGATCCCAGGGAGTCCCCCGGCGCACCCTGGCCATGTGAGAGTGAGGTCCTTGCGAGGACCTCACAATCACATGGCCGGGTTAGCTGGCTGCTGCATTGCCAGCAGGGGGACTGCCTGTAATGACAGTTAGTCCCCCTGCTGGCTGGAAATCAAATAAAATTAAAATCAGTGTAAAAAAAAAATTATATACTTAGATCATATATATTTTCTCCCAGGTCCCAGCACTCAATGTTCCCGGTCTTTTCCATGCTCCGGTGCAAGTAATCTCTGACCAAAATATAGCATCCAAGTAGAGAGCACTCTGGAGTCTTCATTTTATATCAAAATAAATACTGCTTTATTGTGCAGAATACAAAAATGGCGAGGTTTCAGTCACAATAGACTTTTCTCAAGGTCTTGAGAAAAGTCTATTGTGACTGAAACGTCGACATTTTTGTATTCTGCACAATAAAGCAGTATTTATTTTGATGTAAAACGAAGACTCCAGAGTGCTCTCTACTTGGATGATAGATATAGATAGAGAGAGTATATATATATATATATATATATATATATATATATATATATATATATATAAAAAATAGATGTTATTTCGTTCTAACTGTATTGTGATTATATATTAAAATACACGAACGAAAATATATATATATATATATATATATATATATATATATATATATATATATATATATATATATATATATACACACACACACATACATACATATACACACACACACACACACACACACACACACACACTTATTAATTCTACATATATTTATGTAATATTTATACATAATTAGGTATTTTAATTAATTACAATTAGCGGGACCTGCCTGACAACCCATGCCGAAAGTAAAGGGAATTTAATTTGCTAGTACTATATTTAACCCTATAATTTTCAAAGACACCATAAAACCTGTACATGGGGGTACTGTTTTACTCGGGAGACTTCGCTGAACACAAATATTAGTGTTTCAAAACAGTAAAATGTATTACGATGATATTGCCAGTAAAAGTGAAGTTTTTTTGCATTTTTCACACACAAACAGCACTTACACGGAAGATATTATTGCTGTGATACGTTTTACTGTTTTGAAACAAATTTGTGTTCAGCGAAGTCTCCCGAGTACAACAGTACCCCTCATGTACAGGTTTTACGGTGTTTTCAAAAGTTACAGCATCAAATATAAGGCTTGTGTTTCAGTTTTTTCCCACATTAAAATTCGCCAGATTGGTTACATTGCCTTTGAGACCCTATGGTAGCCCAAGAATGAAAATTACCCCTATGATGGCATACCATTTGCAATAGTAGACAACCCAAGCTTTGCAAATGGGGTATGTCCAGTCTTTTTTAGAAGTCACTTAGTCACAAACACTGGCCAAAATTGGCATTTTTCACACACAAACAAATACTAACGCTAACTTTGGCCAGAAGAACAAAGAAATATGCAGACCGTCTCAATTATATGAATGAAACTTACTGCATTGACTGGAAAAAATATATCTATGTATAGCGCGATGTTCCAAATATAGAACCTGGCTATTAGAAATAATATGGTCAGAGACCCTAATTAAACAAAGTATATACAAGTGAACCTACAATCCTATGCCAGCCCAGGGTAGTATAGATCAAGAGGTAGTAAAAAAGATAACCTCACTCCCCCTTATAATTAAGCTTTATTGTGATCTGCTATAGGGATAGGAGTATACAGTAGCTAAGTCTCTATAATCCATGCATCCTAGGAAGTATCCTGGTCACACTAGAAACATATTAAGAAAAACAGAGAGAGATAAGGACTGAAAATAGAAGTAAAAAAATCAGTCAAAAACAGACTGATAATTAGCATTAATAAAGCCTCTCTCCCTGTAAAGCTAGCTAAATAGGCATAGGAAAGAAAAGAAGAAAACTATATAAAATAAAGTTAAATTAAATGGTGATCATGGTGCTCCAAACACCAGTGCCCTGTGCAGAAAAAACGCCCATACTGGACGGTCTGCATATTTCTTTGTTCTTGTGTTTATATTTGGGGTTAAGCCCCTCTGAGACAGCTGGAGTCTCATACTGGTACGTTGGTCTCTGCGTGACCCCTGCAGCCACTGCCCCCCTTTTGGGGAGGTTTTGAGGTGGTGGGTGCGGCGGCTATACAGGGACTTGGAACGTTGTGTTCCTTGCTCTCTTTTTTAACTTTGGCCAGTGTTTGTGACCAAATGGCTACTAAAAAAGACTGGACATACCCCATTTGCAATACCTTGGGTTGTCTACCATTGCAAATGGTATGCCATTATGGGTGTAAATTTCATTCCTGGGCTACTATACAGTCTCCAAGGCAACGTAACCAATCTGGCGAATTTCAGTTTCAAATGTAACGTGCTATATTTGACCCTGTAACTTCCCAAAACACCATCAAACCTGTACATAGGGGGTACTGTTTTACACGTGAGACTTTGCTGAATACAAATTTGTATTTTATTGTCGTAAAAGCAAACAGTATTATGACATTGACAGTTAAAATGTCATGTAGAACAAAAAAAAAAAAAAACTTTTCTCCCATTTTTTTCATATTAAATTATGTTTCATAGCTAAATATTTGATATTAAATGAAAGCCCTGTTTCCCCTGAATAAAATGATATATAATAAGGGTGGGTGCATTTACTATGAAAGAGGTGAATTACGGTTGGACAGACATGTAACGCAAATGCCAGGTTTTGTGAACGTTTTGTTCACAACGTGTACATTTGGCTCAGTCCTTAAGGGGTTAATTTATCCTCAAATTGAAATGATGTTTGGTGATTAAATAAACAAAAAGTAAGAAGAGGTCAGAGTTTAAAATGCTAATTAATCTATATTCTAGAATTTAAGGAATCTAGTAACACTGCTGCACATGACAAAATATGTTCTGTTAATATAATAAAGAAACTAACAAATAACGTTGGATTTGAGTTAAATCACTAGTCTGTAATCAAGATTTCTAACCGTTAAAGGACCACTATAGTGCCAGGAAAACATACCCGCCCGGCTCTGGAAGGGGGAAAGGGGTAAAAACTTACCTTTTTCCAGCGCTGGACGGGGAGCTCTCCTCCTCCTCGTCGGCTGGCTGCGCGCATTCAGCCGGTCGCATAGGAAAGCATTATCAATGCTTTCCTATGGACGCTGACGTGCTCTCACTGTGAAAATCACAGTGAGAAGCACGCAAGCGCCTCTAGCTCAATGAGACAGCCGCTAGAGGGAATGGGGGAAGGCTTAACCCATTCATAAACATAGCAGTTTCTCTGAAACTGCTATGTTTATGAAAGAATGGGTTAAGCTTAGCTGGACCTGGCACCCAGACCACTTCATTAAGCTGAAGTGGTCTGGGTGCCTAGAGTGGTCCTTTAAGACTCATTTTTGCTGGCTGTTATGTTTTTACTACTCTCCACCAGATGATAATTTCATTTTTAGAATAGTAACTTTTAATAGTATTATATATTTAATAGTTCTATCAGAATCACTTGTAGAACTAAATAGATAATGATGACATTATGACAAGGTGCACTATCTCCAGTTTAATTTTAACTAAAATAATATTATATAGCATACATATTAATGCTAAACGTCTGCTAACTGAAGTCGTGATACAAAATATCTTTAAAATAACCTAAACTGTAATTGTTTGCCCTCTTACCTGGGTTATCGCTGGGCACCACGCCTTCACATGTTGGGTGATATGTATCTAGTTTCTGCAGAAGCTAGATGCCAACTCTGCCAGTTATTCGTTGGCTGGAGCGTCAGCCGATGATTGATCCTCTCTGCATGAATATGCACAGAAATGCCATTAGGAAGCCTGGAACGTTTATTCCAGACTGGCTCATGACGTACAAATGCCGCTGCCGAAGATGGAGTTACACCTCTGACAGCAACATAAAATATCTCCGTATGTTCATACTGAAACTGCACATACAGTATCCAAGCACCATAACCACATCTAATCTCTAAAGTGCTTATGGTGCTTGGAGTAACGCTTTAAGGTAAACTAGTCATTGTATATAGATTTGCATAATAAGGAGATTGACGTCTTTTCTGAACTTTGTATGTTTATTTAATAAACGGTGGTGCTGAAAATGCATGTTATCTCTGACACAAGTTCAATTAATTTGAATTAATGGAATTAACCAAAAATGTAAATTTTGCAATCTATGTACAGCCTCATGCCAAAAAGATTTTATACCAAATAACCTTTGGACTATAATGTATTTTAAATACAAAACAATCACTTAAATGTTTCTAGTTTTTCATCCAAGAGCATTTTATTAAAAGAAATCTGATTTAAATTAAAATAAATAAAATCTCAAATAAGTTAATAAAAAAGTAAATCCGATTTGATTTTAAAAGAAAATATATTGCTTTTTATCCACCCCGATAAGTAATATATGGCCTACAAATCCCTAGAGTAAAACTATTCAATTTAGTAAAAGACAATCATAAAGGAAACATCTTTATGTATATGATAGTCAATCCAAAAAGCTTGGATAAAAGACAAAAATATACCTTTTAAGATTTCAGCATAAATATTTATGGGCTATGTTTTGTGTAAAGTAGTCTCAGGGTATGAATGCCTTTATTACTTTGTCATTTTGGTAATAGTTTCTGCTTGCACTCTTCATAATCAAAAATGTTAAAAACACCGCTTTACTCTTATAGAATGTATGGTACACTATGTACAATACATATATATTGCCCATAACCTTCCAAAATACTCACATGCCACTGTCTCTGTATGTACATAGCCTCCTACTGACCCCCAGTACAGGCTCTGGCTCTTACGGAACTTCTTATGAATTTTTGTGTACAACACGCACACAGTCAACAAAACCAAAAGGAAGATCAAAGATGCAGCTGCCCACGATGCCTCTTCTGTACGTGGTGTAGACACATAAAGGTCAGTCTTCTGCTGCCCAGAACCAGATCTTTTTTGTGCTTTGGGTGGTATGAATGGTGACGGCGCATGTTCACATTTGCATTCTTGTTTTCCTTCCGCAACTCCTGGGGACTGTGAACCAGGTGTAGGTTCCAGTGGATGATCAGTCAATGCCTCTTCTGTTTTTTCAGAAATGGAATCGTGTGCCTTTTTTTCTGTGCGGTTTATATATTCCTTGTCCTGAGGGAAGTCAGGTTCTTTATTCACTGGAGATTGTAATGTTTTGTCCTTGAAGTCTGCTCTTTTCTCAGATGTATTTTGGAGATTTTCTGCAGATATGGATCCCAAATTATGATCAGGTAAATTATTCCCCAAAAAGGTTAGATTTTTTTGTACTTCTGATTCTGGTATACGGTTCTCCTTATGCTTGTTTATGTCCAATGCTTCCCTGCGCTCCACTAGATCCCTATTAGAACGTTCTTCGTGTGGAACAGAAGGTGTAGAAACCAAAACGACAGGTTCTTTGACGGTCATTGCTGGAGTATGTGAACCAGTTATACCATTAGTTGGTACAAGTGGAACCCCAGGTTGTATTTTAGTGATATTTGCAGCTTGCACATTTGATGTAACAGAGGCATTCTGAGATAGCTTCTCTCCATCCTGAACTAGAGGAGCAGCTGGAACTTCGAGGGAACCAGAAATGGATGCTGCACTTCTCTTTTTGAATTTCTTTAACCACTGTCCACGCTTTGGAGAATTCCTTAACATCTAGTGATTTAAAAAGCAGAGCAATTACTAAAGAGGTTTAGAGAGTAGAAGGAGGCTATGAAAGTACACATAAATATACATGCATTTTTGTAATAGAACAATGTAAAACTTTACGATAGACCAAAATAAAATTGTGGAACAATATGGTAAGTTCATGGCTGTCCTTAATTGGGCAAAAAGAATGAACTACAAATGAATACAGTGCATGTCTAAGTAGAAGGCCCACAGTACTGGATTTGGTCAAAAGAGGCTTTTCTAGATCCTTCATGGAAATCGTACAATTATTTGTGCCATATATGTATTGGTACCTCAATATTTTTTTTTTATATATATATACACACACAGAGTAAGAGATGCACTCTGAGGACTTGTATAATCAAAAATGCAGTATTTATTAAAAAGAAGGTTTACATAGTATGATCGACGTTTCGACCCCTCAGGGGTATATATATATATATATATATATATATATATATATATATATATATATATATATATATACACACATACACATATATACACATATATACACACACACACACATACATACATACATATCTCCTTTTATTATCCCAAGTTGCTGGTTATACCGTAAATTCCCCCTTTTGGAGTGGAACATTGGCAGAGAAAACCTGCTAATCTAGCAATAAAGGCCAGTGCTAAATTATCACTCTACTGTGCAAAAGGTCAAGCGCCCATGTTTAATTAAATGTCCGATTTGTGAAAAAATGTTTTGAAGCCGAATTGAATACCACTGAACCCCAACATAAAAAAAATCCAGTAGAGTAAAAACACACATATGGGGCAAACATTCCATCAGTAGACCAATCGACAAGAACATTCCTAATGTTTTCATTGTGCTTGTTCCACATTTTAGACCTGTGCTCTAGAGTTGCTCATTATGTTAGGACCCTAATAATCCCCTTATCAACAAAGTAAAATATACACTTAGCTGCCAAAGAAGCATAAAGAATTTTTGAGTTTCCTAAGTTCTAAATTTAACACAGTTAAGCTGCAAGACTAACTCCACTAGCCGTGAATGAACGGGCTAAGTAAGTGGTTACTTAATGAGCTGTTTACCTCGGCCAAGATCTAACCATATAGAATCTGTATATTCCACCCTATTGTTTCCATTGACACAATTGCTAGTTCTGTGTTTGGTCAATACCTCGAGCTGACTTTTTGGACAGACTTCAGTGCCATATAGATCAGACACTATCCTCGAGGATGGCTGAATCAGAAGGTAATCATAGATGCCCTCATTCTCCATTACATTTTCATGGTCTCGGTAGATATTGTCCTGCAGCCACTGTCTAACCTCTTTCAGATCTATATGAGACATTTCCAGCGTAGAACTCCATGCAGCCAAGGCGAGGGGCTGAAAGATGATAATGTAAGCAGATGAGAAGTCAAAAATTAAAAATCTATACAAAGATTTCACCTTTATTATTTACCCCCGTTTGAAACACTACACGTACAGATACATAGTCTAGTGCTACCAGAGATCTGAGCAGGGACCCACTGAAGGGCAGGTTAATTGAGCTGTTGTCCGTTCTCGCCTCTCTTGCTACTTGTGTTTTCCTACCAGAGGTGTAACTCCATCTTCGGCAGTGGAGTGCATACTTTGCATCTGTAGTCAACACACAGCATGCATGCAACAGATGACAAATGCTGGCAGAGCCCCCCGTGACCTACCTTAGCCTGTCCTCTAAGATGGCACTACCCATGCAATCAAGGGAATGCCATCACTGGAGGACTGTGCTTTTTTTTTTTAGCCAAAACATTGCTTTGCTCTAGCTTGGACCTTACAGATGTACCAGTCTTATTTGTTCTATGACAAAAATGGACCATGCACCCTACAGGGGATTACTCCCACTTGGATGCTCCAGACAGGAAGGGCAAATCCCTAAGGATCCACTTGGAAATTCGAACAGATAGAGGCACACCTAGTGGTTTCTTCAAATAGCAGTCTTAAAAGGATAAAGTAACAACGTTTCAGCTCTTACATGAGCCTTTGTCAAGTCTCATACAAGAAGAGATACACCCCATCTTGTATAGGAACATCATTTACATTCAAAATCAATAATTGAACTTACCCGAATGGGTGAACTCACCGAATCATAGTGACTGCCAAGTAAACGGACTTTGAGACATACAGCGTATATAAATTCTAAAATGTATTTTTGTTATAATAGTTAGAATTTTTAATGCATTAGCTACATGATTCATAAAAGGAAACCAGAAAATAAAAAAGGACACTGGCCTGAAGTGACCCTTAAAATATAATTTCATCTGGGTTCGATTGGGGAGGGAGGGATATTGGAAGGAAACATGCATTCTTACATATAAAACAGAAAAGTACAAAATATAATTGAAGCCATTCTAAGCAGGCCATATTTATGACATGAATAATTAAACAAGACATTGTGGACAGAAAAAGAGCGTGTGAACAGGGCTACACCATGTCATCAGGGCATTCACTTTGGCTTTTGACGAAGTGTAATAGACAGATTTAGCAAACTCCAAACTTAAGAATAAAAAAATCTTAGTTATATATAAAAGGGGACCAACGGCAGACAGGTTCACAAACAGGTCAGATCATTTAAAAGATTCTGAGAATGAATTTAATTATATGTAATTAAAGAAATCCTACTTACATACAGGGCAAAAATCACATAGGGAAGACTGAACTCCCTGCATGCTGACATTTACAGGGTTATTCACTGAAGTGAGAATTCAAAGAATTTCAAATGTAAGGTCAAAATTCTCATGGACGGCTATGCTTTCCGTTCGGCAACCCTGGCCTTCAATTTAAAATTTACTTTGCATTCTCACTTTAGTAAGTAACCCTGATAGTTAGATGGATAATATTCTGGAGTCAAATATTATTAGAACAAATTGAACTCTGAAGTTCAACCAGTAGTCAAATATTAATTTATAAAATCTTCAAAACCTAATTCTGATACATGTCCATACAAATGTCATGTAGTCAATAGTTATTTTGGTTAAAGGACCACTATAGTGCCCTGAGGGTTCCCCCACCCTCAGGGTCCCATTCCCGCCAGGCTGGATGGAGAGGAAGGGGTTAAAACACTTACATTTCTTCAGCGCTGGGCTGGATGGAGAGGAAGGGGTTAAACACTTACATTTCTCCAGTGCCGGGCTCCCTCGGTGCTGGAGACTCTTCTCCTCCTTTCCCCATCATCAGCTGAATGCGCATGCGCGGCAAGAGCCACGCGCACATTCAGCCAGTCTCATAGGAAAGCATTCTTAATGCTTTCCTATGGACGCTGGAGTCTTCTCACTGTGAAAAATCACGGTGAGAAGCGTGGAAGCCCTCTAGCGGCTGTCAATGAGACAGCCACTAGAGGCTGGATTAACCCATATGTAAACATAGCAGTTTCTCTGAAACTGCTATGTTTACAGCAGGCAGGGTTAATCCTAGATGGACCTGGAACCCAGACCACTTCATGAAGCTGAAGTGGTCCTTTAATGTCAGCACTCTAGCCAGTCTAACAAGTTCCCCTATATTTAAAGTATTTGAGTGGTTTCACAGTGGATGGAAGCATCACCGGGATTGCACTGGGAACACACATAGCCTCTGCTGTAATATGGACACATTCACCAGTCAATTTGTAGAATGTATAAATAAACTTAGAAGAAGAAAAAAAAAAAAAAAAAGTAAATTATACTCCCAGTAAACAAATGTTGACTGAAATGCTGATGGGACAATTAAGGCTTGAGTTGCCAGCATTTCTGATCTGGACTGTACTTATGTGTGAGATCAGCCTAACATGCGAATGGTATAGGTTATATCTGTAATGGCACAAGCGAGCAAAAATATTTGAGACCTGAGCAGGGACTAACCAAAGGACAAACTATTGCGTTCTCATATTCTCTGTTTTTGTTGCAATTAATTTAGACTTGAGGTGACCCAACTTTAACATGTGTTATGAGATAATGCATTAGAATGTAAAATAAATAATACAAATAAAAACATTTTTTTTTTAAATAAAGTTTCCAGCAACAAACTTATCATGCTTGGAAGTGGCTGACCTCTCTAAGACAATAGTGGTACTGTTAAGGATTTCAACTATATAATTAAGAAAACGGTGTTCCTTTAAAGGAACACCATAGCATTAGGAATACAAATCTTTATTCCTAATGCTATAATGTTTCAGTCCCTAGTTCTTTTCAAGTCCACACCCATTCGCTAAATTATTTTTTTAGGGGATTTAGTTAACTTTTCCAGCGCCAAGGCTCCTACGGCGCTGCTCATCTTTCCTCCTTCAGAGACGTCACAGAGGAGGCATGACTGCCTATGCCGACTGTCAATTTGCACGCATGGCGAGTGCATTTAAGCTGTCCCCTTAGGAAAGCATTGAATCAATGCTTTCCTATGGGTATTCTGCAGCAACAGATTTCAATGCAGACACACTCCCATCAGAGCGGTCTGCATTGAATATACATGAGGTTAGATGTCCTCATGCAAATAGCAGAGTTTCACTCAGTTACTAACCAGGAAGCCCCATCTAGTGGCTGTCAGAGACATCCACAAAAAGTAGGTTTAGCCCCCCCCCCCCCAAAAAAAAAAAAAACACAATGTGTTTTCTTCAAAAGTGTTATTTCTTTGCAGATCTATAATGATAGGGGCAAGGCAGCCAGACCACTTCATTGAGAGGAAGTGGTCTGGGTGCCTATAGTGTCCTTTTAATATTTCCTTTTAAAGTATTTAATATGTCCTTTTAAAGTATTTACAAATATTCAAAGTAAAATTGACTATACCCTTTCTCTTGAGAGACTATGAAGGGAAGTAATTATGTGTTTGTACAAGCAGGAGCGAGCCACAAGGGATAATTCTTCTTTCAGCTCTGGGTGAACACAGGGATGATACAAAAAGGCAACCGCTCCACGCTGCAAGATAAAAAAGGTAATCAGAAGGTGTGCAAACACACAATAATGAGAATGGGTTATTTGAAGAATGTAAACAACTCAGGAACGGACATATTTACCACTAGGCACATCGTGAAAATAACACACTTCTTCTAATCACATGTTTATATGTGAGATCTATGAAATCTCTGGCTGCAATGCTTTAATTTCTAATCAACCTAATCTATAAAAATCATGTAAGGTCTAATGGATGCTGCTCGATTTCGTCTTACTTTGAAAATGGAGTCAACAATTAGCACTTGCAAAATTTCCATAAAAATAAATAAATGTCACCCAGCATGTTTTTACTCTTTCCATAATTATACAACATTTCTGTGTGAGATAAAAAATTGTGTATCAACCAATGCAGATTACAGTTTCCTCACTCTGTAACCTCTGCCAATATGGAATGTTAATATTGTAAACAGCTCTATAGTCCTTGGCTACAGCATTCCTGGACAAAGATTGTTATTTCAAAGACCAAGACACCACGATTCATTGTAAACTGGCTATTTATTTCTTAATTTTACCCACCTTAAGGCTGTGAACCCAGCGCTGGGGTGGGCAGTAGATGTACTCTCCATATTTGGCCCACTTTGGCCGGTGTACCCCACTATATGCAACAAGAAGACCACATGTAATTAAAATGAACATACATGTGATTAAAGGCATGGTCTATTCAAGTTAATAAAAGTGCTATATTGATTGCCTACTACCGTTCACTTATCCATTAAAGAGAACCTATGTATATAACATTATATATATATATATATATATATATATATAAAAAATTATATAATATATATTTGTATTTTTTATTATTTTCTATTTATCAACATACCAATTATCCTGATTACGTTATTTGCAAACAGACATGTCAATTATGACCTCACTCCACCTTGTTTTCACCTTCCAATGAACATGTGATCACTGCATATTTAAAGGCTATTTTTTTTCACTGTTTAATTGTCTTGATAAAAGTCCAGATGGGACTGAAACGTTGACATTTTCTACTTTAAAATTTTTGCTGCAATAAAGAAGCATTTTTTTGAACCATATCAAGTCCTGCGAGTGCTTTCCTACAAATCGCCGTCCCTTTACATCACATGTATATTTTAACTCCCACTAATCTCTTCCAGAATATCACTGAGTATGACAGGAGTTGTAAACTATGACAAGTTTGTATTATAAGATTTACAATCCTCTCCTCCAGCCAGAGTTCCGGATAGACAAACACCTCTCATGGAACTTAAAATGGGTCTTCCTGGTCTACAATTCATCTTGGAAGATAGATTTGGTAGCCAAAGAAGGAGAAATATGTGCACTCTGCTGCAGCATAGAAATACCCTGCTATTTTTAGTATGGAGTTATTAAGCCATGAGCAAAGAGAGTCTGCCAAGGAGAAAGACTAAAGCCTGTCCAAGAAATCTAGGGGTTAGTATGCTGTGTGTGCTGCCACCATATGCAAAAGATGCACAAAACAAATATGGACAAATGGTATTCTACCATGCTGACTGACAGGGCCTACATACAGGGGGAAAAAAATAAAATGTCTGAAAAATGTCTGAATTTATGAATCAGAAAAAACGAAAAAGCTGCAGGAACATAGTTGTTATGGACCTCAAAGTGGCAAGCTTACTTTACAAAAATGCAGTTTTTTTCCCCCCAGTCTATGCCAGTTGCACTGCATTCCAAGAGGAGATATTATCATCATTGACATAGTTTCACATTTAAGACCAAAGAGTTGTCTGTCAACTTCCTGTACAGTTCTACTTATGGAATTCTTGAAATGTTAAATATAATCAAAACACTGCACTGAAAATAAATGCCTATTATAGGCACAAACTGCAAGTCTATGGGAGCAGTGGTTTGAATGTGGTATAGTATATTACTGCAGAAAATGCTAACCCTCTAAGTAATTAATAAGATAATGATGCACTTTATTTGAAATCATTGCCCATAACATGAAATTCCATAATGATAAAATGAGAAACAATTGAAATGTTTGCTTGCTTTCAAAAAGTTGTATGTTTAAAACCAGAGCTTTGTACGCCCTTCAGTTTAATTATGAATATACCGAGCAGCACTAACACCACTTTTGCTACAGAGTCCAGCCAAGCCCAGACGGACCATGAAACTAACGTGGAATACCAGGCTTGCAAGTCAAACCACTTGCATGGGCTATAGCAGATGGGGTCTCGCCTACTCGAAATCACTTCAAAGTCATGGTTTTATCAATCAAGAGAATCCAAATCACTCATTTAAGTAAAAAAAAAAAATCACGTTATGAAAGTTTTTAAAGACAAGGTAACAGAAAATAACGAACATAACTAGCATTTAAAAAGAGCCTACTGTTCTAAAATAAAGTTCACATAAAAGTCAAATATTAAGCCCTCTGTAAACAATAAGAGTGAGCTAAAGGACCCCAATTGTACTTTGATTCAAGTCTCCTGACAATTGTTAAATCTAGATTTCAAATATAAAAAGAGGAAAGAGGAGAAATAGAAAATAAACATAGAAATCATTTTAAAATATGTAGTCGTGATATACGCATTACCCATATGGTTCTTGAAGTTCATTCTTATAAGTGTGGCTAGGAACAGATGAGAGTAGTCACTAGGTTACCCACCTGTTAGGAATAGGTGACGTGTACACTATCTGGATGTCCATACAGGCACAGGAGGAATTCTGAAAATTAAAAACACTAGTATTAAAGATACGTCTACAAAAAAAAAAAAAAAAAAAAATTTAAAAAAAAAAAATTCAAAAAAAAAAAGGCACTCAATCAAAGCTAAAATCTTAATGGTGACACGTAGATACATCAGTTCATATAAACTCAATAGTAATGAAAGAATGAAGCTTTGGTAGAAATACTGATTAATACAATCTTCTTACCTCTTGTTTGTGCTTGGTGGCAATACTTGGAAGGACCTGCTAAGACAAAACAAATATGTACATAAACATGTACTACATGGCAATAAAACAATAAGTGCTACTTCTACAAATCTACTAACTTGCACGATATAGGGAAATATAAATTACTGCATGCTAAAATATGTATTAAATGGTTCTGAATTGTCCTCCCACTGACAAGTAGGAGGTAGGTAATATTTATCAGCATATTCTATGGGGTAAGCAGAAATTAAAACTGGTTTACAAATATTGTGTTAGAGCGTTAATCTACTAATATTTGTTAACCCCAAATAAAGCAAGCAGTGTATGTATAACAAGTTCACTTATAACAATGAAAAAAATAAATTGAAAAAAATATACCAACAAAAGCTCTAATTGGTTCTTGTAGAATACAGATTAGTAATTTACTTGCAAAAACTTGACAAGATCTGTTACACGAGTTGACAACGGACAACAGAATAACAGTTGCAAAGCATTTCCAGCTCAGCTGAGTTCGGAGAATTTTCCAAGCCCTAAAAACGTGGCCCATGATTTGCATGTTGGTTCTCAACTCAAGCCGGTTGCACATTTACCTTGCTGGGAACAGGCCAGTGTTCTTCAGGACAAACATAGGCAAATTCTCCTGGGAGATCCATATGAAGGTTAAACTGCAACAGAAATATGGGTCACAAGCACACAATTAGAAGGTGAAAATATAAATTTGTCAATCTGTCAGTCACATAGGGAATTATGGAATCGCTGAACAAACATCAAAATGAGTACTAAAACTGGAAAAAGAAACATTGTAAATACGTAGTAATACGAGTAAATTAAGGAACATTCCTGGCACCATAACAACTTCAAATGATGCCAGGAGTTCGCGAATCGTTTAACCCTAAAGTTGCCTACAGCGCCGATCTCAACTCCCACCAAGCAATTTTAGCGTGGAGTGCAAGGGCGCCACCTGATTGGCTCAGAGCGGTCAGCCGCGTACACATCCAAGCATCTCCAAAGGAAAGCATTGAATAAATGCTTTCCTGTGGGTGCTTCTGTGTCACGTGATCAAGTTTTACTCTGTTCGTGCAGTAGAAGTATTTAACAGCTCAAGCAAACATTAACATTTCTGAAAAACTGCAAAGGTTTACACTGAATGGTTAAATTGGCAGGATCACTGGACCCCAACTTTTTGGCTATTAAACCCTACGACTACAATTAGTGAATTAAGGTCATAATGCATTATTAGAGTGTATAATGGTGATTGACAGCTATGCATTGCCTTACATGGATATTGAGAATGAGGAAGTGTAACCTCCACGATAGCAATATGTGAAGTGAAAGAGCAAACAACAGACGCCGGGGGTACCATTTGTTTCTATCAAACAGCTAAAAAAATATTCAACACAGAAATAGGGGATGACGCTAGGCTAAAGTAGACCCTTTAAGAACATCGCTTATTTAATTTCATGTAACCAAACAGCTCTCCGAAATTACACCCAGACATTAAAATTTTCTGCTCCAATGATCCAGAACAGAGGCTGTTTTCTCTTCATCTCTAAATTTCTGGCCATATGCCATGCTCCAGCTAGAATATGGCACAAAGAAGCCATTTAATGCGTTCCACAACTCCAGCACTAATTTAATTAAAGGAACAGTATTCCTAACACTATAGAGTCACATAACAGTATTCCTAACTCTATAGAGTTCTTCTGCCCAATCCCTCCTCCAGCGAATAAGGGGTAAAAAAAAATACATTTTTTCCCCACTTACCTGATTCCAGTGCCAAGGTCCCTCAATACTGGATCATGCTCCGCCTCCTTCAACATCAGTGATGGGGGGAAACCTAATGTGCATAGGCCTTCCCCATAGAAAATGAATGGCAATGCTTTCCTATGGGGATTTTCAAGATGCTGCATGTCCACATTCAAAGCGTGAGGACATCCAACGTCATTTCATGGAGTTTAACACTATGAAAGGCAAGGAAGGGTTCTCTAAGAGACAGTTGTTAGAGTCTGTCTTAACCCTGCAATGTTTTTGCAGGGTTAAGGAGGACTGGGACACAGCACACAGATCACTTCAATAAAATGAAATGGTCTGGATGCCTATAGTGTCTCTTTAACCCCTTAAGGACCAAACTTCTGGAATAAAAGGAATCATGACATGTCACGTGTCCTTAAGGGGTTAAGCATACAAGGGAACCAATCAACATGGAAATCAGTGGATTCAGCAGGTACATTGCATTTGTGACACTTTGATAAATCTCTCCCAGTAGGTCACTAGATACTATATAAAAATCATGGAAAAATTCTCCTGGCTCAACAGTTTAATAAAAATAGAACCTTTATGCAGATTTCTAGTATCCACATGGGGAAAATGTGCAGTTCATTTGATAAGGCTTTAAGTGTCCTATGGAATGTCACAGCGCCTGATGTTCAAGCGCCTGAAGATAAAGGATTAGTGGCCATAACCCATAGGCAAGTGATGGACTCTTGACAGGGACACAAGAGGGAATTGTCAAAATGAATTTCAAATCTTAGGCCACAATAGCGGAAACTGGAATAACGTTTTCAAGTCAACTCGACCTTAAAATGGAAGTTATCTTTGAATTCCTGACAATTCACTGTGGCAAAACCAGGCTTGTAGAACTCTCCAACAATTTTCTAAAACAACAACCTGTCTATTTGTTTTATTTATTTTTTTAGCCAAATGTTAGCGCTTGGATTTCAACAGCGTACAATTTGGAGTTTAGCGAATAAGCCTCTGTGTGAGTGTGTTTAATTAGGGGATGCCATAACTGACACTAAGCACAGGGCACTCTCACAGCTCTAAAGCATGTCCCCTGCAGAAAGCAGCTGTAAGGTAGGGAGAGGGTTTGCGCAATTCTTGTTCAAATTCTAAATAGGGGACAATGCAATCGGCAGTAACATTGGCACCATAGCTCAGTTTAAAAATAAATCTCCAATTACTAATACTGCATTTCTGGAAATTAAATACAACTCTTATTTTTCTCTACTCAGAGGGAGGGCCACCTACCTGCACTCACTGGAGGGAGAGTGCCCATGGGTAACTACCTGCACTCACAGTGAGAGCACAATAAAGAGTGTATTATTATTACACATATTGATAAGACTGGCAGTGTGAGGATGCTGAGTGCATGGATACAAAGTGTTAACTAACAGCCGCTGATAGAACCTGCCCCGATATAATGGAGGTCAATGCATGCCGCCCACAGTCAGGGAGGTTACAGGCCACTCACCCGGCCGTTATCACACAGCGCCCCTTCAGCACTCCCCGCTCTCAGCAGCAGCAGGAGCAGGAAGCCGACACACAGCGGCCACATCCCCGACTCTCCGAGCTGCCAACCCGCGGTCCCCGGCCTGCTCAGAACGTCACCGGAGTTCCAACATGGAATCCCGCCTCCGCCAATCGGCGGCCGCGCTGCTGGAAAAACAGACACCGATTGGACGCCGCTAACCCCGCCTGTTTGTGCTGGGCACAGGGTAAGGAAAGAGGGCGGAGTCTGCTGCCTCCACGTGCTGGTGTGATGACTGTACCTTGTTATAAACATGGAGAGCAGCTGGTCTGCAACAGAGGGGAGAGAGAGATATAGAATATACCGGGGGGGAGAGAGATATATACCACAGGGGGGGGTAGAGATACAGAATATACCACAGGGGATACAGAAGAATATACCTACAGGGGAGAATACAGAATATACAGGGAGGAGGAGAGATATACAGAATATACCACAGGAGAGAGAATACAGAATATACCACCGAAGAGATATACAGAATATATACCACAGGGAGGAGAGATATACAGAATATATATACCACAGGGGAGAGATACAGAATATACCACAGGGGAGAATACAGAATATACCAGGGGAGAATACGATATACACAGGGAGATACAGAATATACCACAGGGGAGAGAGATACAGAATATACCACAGGAGAGATATAAGAATATACCAGGGGAGAGATACGAATATACCTACAGAGGAGAAGATACAGAATATATACCACGGGGAAATACAGAATATATACCACGGGGAAGATACAGAATTATACCACAGGGAAGATACAGAGAATATACAGGGAGAGAGATACAGAATATATACCACAAGGCGTTGAAGATACAGAATATATACACAGGGGGAGATACAAAATATATACAGGGAGATACAGAATATACCACAGGGAAGATACAGAATATATACCACAGGGGGGGATACAGAATATATACCACAGAGAGATACAGAATATACCACAGGGGGAGAGAGATACAGAATATATACCACAGGGGGGGGAGAGATACAGAATATACCACGGGGGGAGAGATACAGAATATACCACAGGGGGGGAGAGATACAGAATATACCACAGGGGGAGAGAGATACAGAATATATACCACGGGGGGGCGATACAGAATATAACACGGGGCAAAGCCTTTATCTGAGTAATATCACACAGAGTGCAGTATTGACCTGGGGAATGACCCCTTACTGCCCTGATGGCAGCGATGAGGTCAGTACTGTGTGTAGGTCCAGAGCTGCCAACTCTCACCCAGTGCCTTCATATTGTGTATTACTGGAAGCACATTGAGATGGATTAAAAAAAATAAATCACAAAAAGGAAAAACTATGCACAGTCATATGTTACCAACAAGACACAAACAGGGGACATACTAAAAGGAATGACAGATTGGAATGCCCATAGACTTTAACAAGGCAGTGGAATGCCCAAAGACAATAATGGAAACAAAATATTTCAATATGGACAGTATGCCAGTAAAAGATTTACTTGATATGTTTCACTGTCCAGATTCCAAGTCACATATTGCTTCCCATTATAGTCTATGGGCATTCCATTGTGTCATTCACCATTTATTCCATAGAAAAGAGCTATAATCCCAGTTACTTTTAATTTTACAATCTGCTGCTGTACTTGGGGAACAACTGTGGTAAAGTTTAATTTCCTATGTGACTGGCTGAATGCGCGCGCAGCTCTTGCCGCGCGTGCACATTCAGCCGACGGGGAGGAGAAGAGGAGGATCGGAGGAGGAGAGCTCTCCGCCCAGTGCTGGAAAAAGGTAAGTTTTTACCCCTTTCCCTTTTCCAGAGCCGGGCGGGAGGGGGTCCCTGAGGGTGAGGGCACCCTCAGGGCACTATAGTGCCAGGAAAACAAGTATGTTTTCCTGGCACTATAGTGGTCCTTTAATCTCAATTTTAAAAATTGACGCTGAACTTGGAGAGTATGTCAGCAAAAGATTTATTTCATATGTCTAATAGTTTTGTCTCTAATTAAAATATTTTGTTTCCATTATTCTCTATGGGCTTTCCTTTCACTTACATTATTGTCTTTGGGCATTCCACTGCCTTGTTAAAGTCTATGGGCATTCCAATCTGTCATTCCTTTTAGTATGTCCCCTCACAATGTGTAAAAATGTATTGGACTCTGGGGGGCAGGGCCTGATTGTCATGGAGGAGAGACGTGCTTTGCTAGAGCTCCTATGCGAGCTTGAACTGCAGTTTTCATCCTCATTCTGCCTGATGGAAAATGAATTATTTTACCTATGCAACGCTTAGTGAATATTCCCCTAGACATACAGAGCTTTACATAATATATATACAGTAACCTATGGATGTATTGCATACTGAGACATGGATTTAATAACATATATTATTCTGTAGCATCAGATATCTGGGCAAGCTTCCCTTGATGGCTCTTTTGGTGAGAAATGGCAAGGAAATCGAGGTGAATAAGTAATAAAAGGCCCACAGGTGTAATTAGTACATCTGTAGATACCTTGCATAACTCTCACCAGAGAGAAGGGGACTTGTCATAGATACAGGTCAATAAAGGATTAAAAATGCCCTTTTGTGTTAGTTAAGTCTTTCCACGTGTGCAAGGGTTAAAAACAAGAATTCCACTATCTTGCAGGCACACATACTCCCTTTTTTCTCTCACAAGATAACCCTGCATAGTTTAGAGAAGACGTGTTAGACATGTGCAGTAGATTTCCTGTAATATGTAATGTTATATAAATAATTATACTTTTTGCACTGTACGTCTATGATTGGTTGATTTTGTCTTCTGTTGGATACACCCCTATGAAAACTGTGTTTGTTTCATATATATGCTGTACCCGCACTAAAAAAGCTATTACTATTTTTCTGGAACTTCATCTTGACTGTTGTACATTAACCCCTTCAGAACGGCGGGCGTTTTATGCCGTCCTTAGGGAACCGGCTTTAAACGCCGGAGGGCGGTATAGAACGCCCTAACCGTCTTTTCTACTTACCAGGATCGCGGTATGGGGACTTACCTTGGAGACCAGGGAGTCTCCCTCCGTCCTCGGGCCATGTGATCGTGAGGACCTTGCAATCACATGGACAGCATAGCCGTCCAAGGCAATTCCAGCAGGGGGAGTGCCTGTAATGATACTCCCCCTGCTGTCTGTAAAAAGTAAAAAAATAAAGTTAATAACAGTTTAAAATAAAATATATACTTAGATCATATATATATTTATTATATATATGATCTAAGTATATATATATACACATATACAAACATACACATACACTATCTAAGTGTATTTTAATATTAATATAAATAGTTATATATATTAATATCAAAATACACATACAATGATATTGATTAAATATATATAATTATCAAAAAAAATTGTAAATACGTGTAACGGGGTTTTGGGGGTGCCCCCTAGTGTCTTTGGGGTCCCCAAACCTAGTTAACTCACTATGCCTGACAGGCGGATCCTGAGCCTCCGCTATCTGGGAGCTGGGGTACATGTCTGCGGCAGTGCCTCCACCCAGTGGAGCATCCGGGGTAGGGATGTGGGGTCCCACTGGGAACATACTTGGTGCAATGAGACTGACACAGTCTAACTGGGACTAACTTTATATGGTAAGTAACAATTGAACCAACATACATAGGAAAATACAATAGAGTAACACAGATAACAATGCAAAATGTGGATTTTCCTCACTCACCCACCAGCACACCTGCGCCCCACCCCCTTATCTTCGCCCTAGCGGCCGTTGGTGCACATAGGAGAGTTGGGGCCCTTATAAGTCCTGGGTCACTGAAGCAGCCTCAGATGTGTAATGTCCGTCACGGGACCTCAGAGTCTTTACTGTGAGTGAGGAGACAGGTGCCCTGTGGTGATACAGGGAGAGGCTTGGCTTACCCTCACAACACGATTAACCAGTCAGTCAGCAGCAGTCTCCTCTCACTGGATTCGCCAGACGTCTGGACTCAGTGCTTGTCTTCTTTCCTTTCCTGCAGGTCCCTCTCTCAGCTGGTGTGATCTTGGGTGAAACAAGTTCTCTCAGCCAGGCCCTATCTCTGTGCTACAGTCTCTCACATGTCCTCTCTCTGGCTCAGCATGTGGTCACTCTTAGAATCCTCCTCCCTCAGAGCTGTGCAGGAAGTCCTGACAGGCCCTGCGATGATGCCACACTCCTCTCTTGATTTCAGCAAGTCATGTGATCAAAGCTCAATGTTTTATTAACAGCATACTGAGTCCATGTGCCATCTACTGGGCATTTCAGATAATGCAGCCTGTGTAACTTCACGGGCTACATGCTCCCCCTTGAAAATACTTGCCTTCCACTGGCAAGTCCTAGCCAGGGAGCTTAACAAAAATTCAACAGAAAAAGGTTTAGCATACCTACAGTACAGTTCGCACAGTAACATCCTAGCTAGCTAGTTATTTAGGGTAAACAGTCACTAACATTTACCACTTCAGCTAGTGCATGTAGGAAAGTGGCCATTTTAAATGCTGCTTGTGTCAGCGGGGCATAACTGGGCTCTCCTATATTATCATAAACTAGGGCCCTAGGGGGTTGCCGCACTCTGGTGCTGTGTCTCAGTTCTCGCTGGGGGAGAGGATCTTGGGACATCAACTGTGGAACTTCGACTCCTGCCCTCGAAGTAGAGTTTTTAAGGGAAGTTCCAGGCACAAAACAGGGACTTTCTGGATTCAACCTTGGAGAACTTTGTGACCCAGGAGAGGTTCCGGGACTTTGTGAAACCACAGGAGTTAAAGGAGGCAATTGTTGTGTTTCTTCAGCGGGTGATGACCACCACTGATCCTCTGCACTGGGAGTTCCCGGGGTCTCCTCTGCCCCATTTCCAGGACTCTCTGCTGGGGTTTCCTCCAGTTCTTCACTACTCTCTTCCTCTTCATCAGTATACACAACTGGAAGCAGATGGTTTCTATGCCAAGCCTTTATTCGGCCCTCCGGGCCCCGAATGTTGTACACTGGCAGTCCTTCCAGTTTGGACACAACCTCAAACAGGGTATCTTTCCATCTGTCAGCCAGTTTGTGTTTTCCAGGCACACCTAGATTCCGGAGAAGAACTTTATCCCCTGCTTGAATCTCCCGATATCTCACCTTAGCATCATATCTTCTTTTGTTCCGTTCTTCCATTTTTGCTGCAGCTTGGGTGGCCAACTCGTAGGCCCGACGAAGGTTTTGTTTGAGGTTCCTCACATATTGAAAGTGTGAAGTTGAATCTGTTCCATCAGGAGACACTCCCAACCGGACATCTATCGGCAATCGAGCTTCTCTTCCGAACATTAAGAAATAGGGTGAGAACCCTGTAGATTCATGCCTTGTACAGTTGTATGCGTGGACCATGGTTTCCACATGTTTACTCCAAGACCGCTTCTCGATTTGCTTGAGAGTCCCTAGCATATCTAGGAGGGTCCTATTGAAACGTTCTGGCTGTGCATCACCCTCCGGATGATAAGGTGTGGTTCTGGACTTCTGCACCTGCAACATGCCTAACAGCTCCTTTATCAACTTACTCTCAAAGTCTCTACCTTGATCAGAGTGTAGCCGATTGGGTAGTCCATAGTGAATAAAATACTTCTGCCAAAGGACTTTGGCTACAGTCACAGCCTTTTGGTCTTTAGTGGGGAAAGCTTGAGCATATCTGGTGAAGTGGTCCGTTACCACCAGCACATTTCCAATTCCCGCTGTATCGTCCTCAATGCAGAGATAGTCCATGCACACAAGATCCATGGGTCCCGTACTTTTCAGATGACCCATAGGGGCAGCTCTCACAGGCAGGGTCTTCCTCTGGATACACCTCCTGCATGTCTTTACATGTTGCTCGACATGTTCCCTCATGCGAGGCCAATAGAACCGATCTTGTACTAGGCCATAGGTCTTGTCCACCCCGAGATGCCCATGTTGATCGTGGAGAGCTCTCAGGACCATGCCACGGTATCGGTGCGGTAGTACCAATTGTTTTCTGTCAGGGTGATCATGATACTTCACGACCCTATAGAGTACTCCATCTTCGAGATGTAGTCGGCTCCATTCTCTTCGGTATAATTCTCTTTGATTCACAGGTAGAGAAGTCAGCAATTTAGGATTCTTAGTCTTTATTGCTCTGATAACTATCCCAATATACCAGTCCTGCGCTTGAGCCTTCCTCTTGTCTTCTGTGGTTATACTGGACCACTGTTGAAGCATGACTGGAGCATGGAACACCTCAGGCACAGCTTCGGGAGAGTGGCTAATGGAGTCTATCCCTCTTAGCTCGGCAAATTCTTCTTGACTCTCGGCCACCACATACATCTGACAAAAGGCTCCTACCCCCGGCCCAGGGATCTCTTCCCACTCCTCTTCTTCTTGGTGAGGGGGGAGTCTAGGTCTGCGGGACAGGGCATCTGCGCTGACATTCTTGGGCCCAGGCTTGT